CACAAGTGGGGGCCTTGGGGGGGGTTGGCACCCTCCCCCTGCAGCTTCATGCCCACGCAGGCACTGTGTCACCAACAGGCACCCGTTACACACGCAGTCACCCGCCACACAAGTGCACCCACGCAGGCACACCAGCCCCCCCACTATGCTCCGTGGTAGGGGGCCAGCACACAGGCACCATGCCCATGCAGCCCCCAGCCCCTCCTCACACGTAGGCATGGGGACATGTACACACCCAAGCACGACGCAGCTGTCGGCACGTGTGGGGACACACATGGTGGCAGCAGTCCTGTCTGCCATGGTGGCACAGCCATCAACAGTTCTCAGTAGCTGGGCTTTGAGAGGTCTCATGCCACAGCGGGATCTGCTGGGCTCCCACCGGACACATGGTGCACACACAGAGCACACACACACGTGTTCATCTGCACTCACAGTGACTCAGCTGCACACACTCTGTACCTCACACCTTGCCCGTCTACCCCAGCCCTGCTCTGCGCTCCCAGACTGCCTGTGGGGAGCTCTCCTGGCCACTGGGCTTTGAGAGGTCTCATGCCACAGCGGGATCTGCTGGGCTCCCACCGGACACATGGTGCACACACAGAGCACACACACACGTGTTCATCTGCACTCACAGTGACTCAGCTGCACACACTCTGTACCTCACACCTTGCCCGTCTACCCCAGCCCTGCTCTGCGCTCCCAGACTGCCTGTGGGGAGCTCTCCTGGCCACGACAGGCCCTGGCAGCCCCAGGACCAGCCCCATGGGGCTGCCTTTCCTCAGAGCATTCTGTGATCCAGACGGGGCCACCAGCACCAGCCTCCTTCCTGGGGACATGGGATTGGTCCTGCATCCCAACCCCCCTATGCCCAGTTGCCTCTGTGCCCTTGCCCTGGCCAGCACTGGGGTTGGCAGGGATGGGAGATGGGGAGGAAAGTCGGGGGGAGCGGAGGGGTGCGAGGGATGGAGGAAGACACAGGCCAACAAGCGTGAGCTGCCGTGTTCAGCCTGTGCAACAGGCGGCTGTGTCAGCCTGGCAGCGGCTCAGGTGGCAGCACAGCCCGGGGCTGGGCAGCATCTGCAGCGCTGGGGACAGTAATTAAATAGGAGCCTGGCCAGAGATGGCCTAACTAATTAATAACACCTACTTGTGTGGTGCCAAGTGCAATGCAGCCGTGAAGAGCCGCGGTGCCAGCAGCTGCATCGGGCTTGTTTATGGTGTTCACCCCTTGCCGTGAAGGTCCCTGTGCTGGGATGTGACACAGCCCATGGTGGGGACAGGGGAGGCCTCAGGGCTTGGGCACATCCACCCTGTCAAGTGCCCCCGTGCGCACACACACACACGCACATACACATGTGCCCCCCCATGCACGCGCTGCCCAAGTGCCCTGGCATGTGTGCCCACACGTGCTCTCCCATGCACGACAAACCATGTCGATGCTCCAGGGCCCACCTGGGACCTGGTGCCGATGCTGACGTGATGAGGAGTTGTCAGCTCCTGCAGGTGACATGTGAGGACAGGAAAAAAAACCCTCGTTCAGAGCTTGATGAACGCAGGAGAGAAAAGGCAGCCCAGGGAGGAGAGGGGGGGCTGCTGAAGGAGCTGTGTAGGTAACCTGGTTCCTGGGAGCTGCAGGACAGGCAGAGGGACCTGGGCTGCAGCAGTGGCACTTCTCTGTCTCCTTGTTGTGCTCCAGCCACAGCCCTGGCCCCCAAATGTAGCTCCAGCACCAGCCCAGGGAGTTGTGGGTGCAGCTGGGCAAGGTGGGGATGCAGCAGAGACCACCCTGCATGGGGGGGGACCCTGGGCAAGGAAAGACAGGGATGAGAGGCAAGGATAGCCAGCCCAGACAGACGTGAGCTGGGGACCTCACATGCCAGACACCCAGAAATTGCCTCTGCAGCAGAGCGAGTGGCTCCTGCCATAATGGGAAAACTGGCTGCAACTTGGGGGCGTT